ATCTACTCCAAGAACATGAAGGAGCACGTGGAGCATCTACGGAAGGTGTTCGAGATCCTGCGGAAAAACAAGTTCTACGTGAAGCTGTCGAAGAGCGACTTCGCCCTGAAGAAGGTGCAATTTCTTAGGCACATGGTGAGTGCCGAGGGCGTAAACGTGGACCCGCGGAAAATCGAAGCCGTCAAGAAGTGGAAAGTACCGGAGAACGTGAAGGAGTTGCAGCAGTTCCTAGGCTTCGCCAACTACTACAACAGGTTCGTGCGGTAGTACGCTAAGATAGCAGCGCCACCGACCGACCTACTGAAAAAGGATACGCCCTACAAATGGGATACCCCTCATCAGCAAGCCATGGAGCAGCTACAGGCAGTTTTAACTACAGCGCCAGTACTCATCCTACTAGATCCAGACAAGGACTACGTGGTGGAAGCAGACGCTAGTGACAAAGCAATCAGAGCAGTACTGATGCAGGATCACGGACGCGGTTTGCAGCCTATCGCCTATCTCAATAAGAAACTACACGGAGCAAAACTAAACTACCCCATTCCCGACAAGGAAGCCTTAGCGATAGTCATAGCCTTCAAGGCGTGGAGGTGTTACCTAGAGGGAGCCAAGACTACAGTCTATACTGACAACTGCAGTCTCAAATACCTGAAGTCGTAGGCGACGCTCTCACGACGACAGGTGCGGTGGGTGGACTTCCTGGAAACTCACTTCCACTACGACATCGTCTACAAGCCCGGGCTACACAACAAAGCAGACGTATTGAGCCGCCCCGGACATGTAGCAGGCATCCAGCTTGACGGGATAAACCCTCTGCTCAAGGGTCTATTCCAACATGGGTACTCCGTGGACGCAGAGATCGCTACAGCACAGACTAAGAAGCTGGTACAGTGGGAGAAAGACTTAGCTGTAAGGAAGGGTTCAGGAAAAATGTGGGTACCAAATTACGCCCCGCTACGGCAGATCCTATTGGAGGAGTTTCACGACGTACCATACGCGGGACATTTCGGGAGCAACAAGGCGTTAGCAGGGATAGCGAAGTATTACTACTAGCCCGGGATGGCAGCAGACGTGCAGCAGTTTGTCACCTCATGCGACACGTGCCAGCAGATGAAGAGTAGCAAGCAGAAAAAAGCAGGGTTACTTCAGCCTCTACCTATACTGGAGCAGCCATGGCAGGTCGTTAGCCTTGACTTTATCACAGGACTTCCTTCGACCTCACGGGGGCACGATTCCATCCTCGTAGTCATCGATAAGTTCTCAAAAATGGGTCACTTCATACTGACCAACGCCACAGCTACAGCTGAAGCAACTGCTCGCCTCTTCTTCGACCGCATCATCACCATCCACGGCATCCCCGCTACACTCATCTCAGGCCGAGACCCAAAATTCACTAGTAAGTTCTAGAAGGAGCTCCTGGGACTGTTGGGGACAAAGCTTGCAATGTCTTCGGAATACCACCCCCAGACTGACGGACAGACAGAGCGACTCAATCAGGTGGTTGAACAGTTACTGCACACAGCTTGCAAAGAAGACGTCAGCCAGTGGGACACACAGTTACCGACCCTAGAGTTTGCTTATAACAACGCATCACATGCGACCACAGGGAAAACTCCTTTCTTCCCGTGTTACGGACGGGAACCACTCACACCACAGCAGCCAACCACAGTGGCACACGTCCAAGCCGCACATGACTTCGTCACCACCATGCAGCAGCTATGGGAGAAGACTCAGCGATGACTCACCACGATGAAGACCTCCCAGAAGCAGTATGCCGATCGTGAGCGATGTGATCACTCTGTAGCAGTCGGAGACCAGGTGCTTCTTGACACGCGCAACTTAAACATGTCTCACCTCCCATCCAAACTCCGGCCTCGCTTCTGTGGTCCTTTTCTCGTTGAGGCACAGGTGACACCAATTATATCCCGCTTGCGCTTACCTACTACTTGAAAGCTTCACAATGCTTTCCATGTGCAGCTACTGAAACCCTACAAGGACCCCAACCAATAATTCCAGGGATGGCAGCTACCGCCACCTCCACCTGTTCTTGCAAAACAATACAATGAGCGAAGGAATGAGCGAGAGCTAAATAGCAAAGGCCACTGTGGTAACGGTACCGGTAACGAACTATGGGTGACGTGCAACGGGCCTGTGACTGAGGTTGGGACTGAGGTTGGGACTGAGGTTGGGACTAAGGTTGAGAAGTGTCGAAGTGGAGGCCCGGAACGCGGGTTACCAACCGAGTCGTGAGGTTGGGTTGCGACGAGCAAGGTGGTGGGAAATGGTCGAGGCGAGTATCGTGAGTGGTAACGGCGCTGAGTGTGGCGAGAACAGTAGTGTACGCTGTCAAAAGTTAGAAGAAGAAAGAGGGTTGAACTAGCAGAAATGGGGACACAAATAGCAAACCCTAGAAGGGTTGTACTCGCTATAGAGCACCCCACTACAGGCTAGAACATAAGAATAACATTCTGACACACCCCCATAGCCAAAGTGGGGTGTAATCAGCAGAGCAAGCAAAGCAGTACAAGCTCAGGGTGGATCACAATGTCACCACACATTCTGAGCACAAGTTCAAGAAGCAAGTTCAAGTGCACAATTATCAGCAAAGCTAGTGGTGGTCACAACGGGCAAGTGAGGAGGAGGAGTGAGAGCGAGAGGAGTTGGGAGGCGACGGCTGAAGCTGCAGACACACGGGCAACAGGAGGCACACTGGCACAGCGGCTACCGGGCGAAGCCCCCGGACTACTGGAGTAACTGGCCCCGCGGCTAAAGTAGCGGCAGACGAGCAACGGACCCACGGGCGGCTGGCACAGCTGGCTACGACTGGGCTACCGGGCGAAGCCCCCGGAATACAGGTGCTGCTGACGACACGACGGCAACCTCCATGCAGCTTCCCTAACTATCCAACTCCCCCAACACACACCCGCTGATACACCCCTAGCTCCACTCCCACGCACCCCCCTTAAACCCTAAACCCGAGTCTCCCACACAACCACCCCCCTCAGCGACAGCTGCAGCAGTGGGAGACGGAGGAGGAGGAGGAGCAAAGGGAGGAAGGCCCACCGAGCACCCCCATACCCGCCACCCAACAGCTCGCCCCTCCCATCGTCCGTCGTGGCGACCTGAGGGGGCCGCTTGCGGCCCCCGAAGGAGCCGCGACGGGCGACGGGAAATGGCAGGGAGGGGAGAAAAGGGGGGAGGGGGGGGGGGGGGGGGGGGGCCGATGCCGCGACGAGGGGCGGGGCCGCGACGGTCGGGGCCGCGACATAGGGCGGGGCCGCAAAGGTAGGGCGGGGCCGAGCCGGGCAGGCGCACGGGCGGCGACGGGCCGGGGCGGGGCCGCGACGTAGAGCGGGGCCGAGCCGGGCAGGCGCACGGGCGGCGACGGGCCGGGGCGGGGCCGCGACGAAGGGCGGGGCCGAGCCGGGCAGGCGCACGGGCGGCGACGGGCCGGGGCGGGGCCGCGACGTAGAGCGGGGCCGCGTCGAAGGGCGGGGCCGCGACGGTCGGGGCGGGGCCGCGACGTAGGGCAGAAGCCCGCCGCGCGCCTCGGGGCGCACAGCGGGCAAAGAACCGCCGTGCGCCTCGGGGCGCACGGCGGGCAGAAAACCGCCGCGCGCCTCGGGGCGCACGGCGGGAGGAAAAAAAAAAAGTAGCAGCGGAAGCGAGGTGGGGACACACCCACAGGATCGATCCAAAGGGATCGACCTGTTAGTAGAGCTACATTGTGAGATCCCCGATCGATCCTAGGGGGGGTTACAGGCGCGTTTGCCTGGGGGGTTATGGGCGCACTGACCCGCTACTGAAACAAGCCCTTTTATCCCAATGGTCTAGTGGTTGGGATTCTGACATGGTATCAGAGCGGTCTCGGGTTCGAATCCCGGTGTATGCACATGTTGGCCGTTGCCACTGTGCTCAGTCCTGGGCCTCCCAGTGTGGGGGGGTGTTAGTAGAGCTACATTGTGAGATCCCCGATCGATCCTAGGGGGGGTTACAGGCGCGTTTGCCTGGGGGGTTGTGGGCGCACTGACCCGCTACTGAAACAAGCCCTTTTATCCCAATGGTCTAGTGGTTGGGATTCTGACACGACCTGCTCTGATAGCATGTCAAAAGTTAGAAGAAGAAAGAGGGTTGAACTAGCAGAAATGGGGACACAAATAGCAAACCCTAGAAGGGTTGTACTCGCTATAGAGCACCCCACTACAGGCTAGAACATAAGAATAACATTCTGACATACGCGCGAAGCAGGGATGCGGCATGAGGAAATGGAATTTTCCTTACACTGTACAATCCTCTTTCATAGAATGTGGAAATCACAAACAATACTTTTTAGGTATCTTCAAAGTATGAACTTAGAGCTTGCCCTGCGGATTCAATCCAATGCCCATACTAAACTATGAAGTGTGTTCCCATGAAGTACTTTGAACATACTTCGCGCTAAGTGCATTCCTTATTTTTGGCCCCAAATTTTTGTAGAGCACCTGTACGTTCTTCAATAATCGCAAGGCCTTCATGCATCATGTCTTGCCTACTAAGAGTAAATGAATCCCACTCCTCTGCCACGGTGGGCACTGAGGCGCCTCCTTGCAAATGCCGCAGCTGTTACAATCGTTCTTCTCTCGGCTATTGTAACTCTCATTCCTTCTGCCAATGCCGCCGCCAGCTGCAGCGCTTTCCGTGCCACATATCCCCTGCCGCCGCCGCATCCAAAAATTTCCCTGCTCCGCAAGCCGCCGCAACACCATCTGGCAGCTCCCGCGGTTCAAACTGGGGCTCTTGCTCATCGCACGCTGATGCGGCGCCTCCCCGTCGCGCCAACCGCCGGCGCTGCCAGCTCCAATGCTGTCGGCAGGACGGCAGCCCCGTCCTGCAACCGTCGCACTGTGAGTAGCGCTGGCAACGGTGAGGGTGCCAGTGCCGTGGCTTAGCATGCTGGTGCATGCGCGCAACTATACCACCTCGCTACCCACTGGGTCAATGAGGGTGTTATAGCGCAGCGGATGCCCTTAGTAACACTAACCTATAGGCGCTACTCTCGTTCCCCCCTGGTTCCAACCTCCCCGTTGGCTTTGAACTTCAGGAAGTCGCCCCGCGCAAGGACCTAGATTTCGCTGTGCTACTACATCACTAAAATCAAGTGGCGGAAAACCTCTCATGAAGTGTGTTTGTTGTGTTTTTGCAGATGATTTGAAGATGTAGGGGTTGGTACCATTTTAGAAGAAAGTATCAAACTTTTTCCAGATGGTATGTCAAATGCTTTGCAGATGATCAGAGTGTTTTTAAACAGTTTGGAAATGGTTGTGAGGAACTTCTCATTGTGTTTGGGATAACTTGGTTAAATCATGTTATGTGCTTCTATTTTAGACTTGTATAAGGTTTGCTATTTACTTTTATATGCATATAATAATCTTGGAAAGGGTTTATGGGGTATTATAAATAAACATAATCGGAGTTTGGAAAACCCTGTTGGTAGTTTCTTTAGCACTTTCCATAAATACACCGTAAGAGGGAAGGCATGTACGTGTAAATCATAATATTAGCTTGAAAAGGTTTACGACACATTCGATGCCTACTTATTCTCTGGTTCTTAGCTACTCTACTAATCATCCTCGGTTAATGACACCTGCGCTACTACTACCCACTATCAACCCTAGGTCCGTACTCTGCTTCATCCTCCCTGCTGTGCTACTCCCCGCTACATCCTCCCTGCTGTGCATCCTCCCCGCTGCACCCTCCCTGCTGTGGTTCCTCTCCTCCCCTCCCTGCTGTGGTTCCCCTGCTCCTCTCCCTGCTGTGGTTCCTCTCCTCCCTTCCCTGCTGTGGTTACCCTGCTCCCCTCCCTGCTGTGGTTCCTCTCCTCCCTTCCCTACTGCGGTTCCTCTGCTCCCCTCCCTGCTGTGGTTCCTCTCCTCCCCTCTCTGCTGTGGTTCCTCTCCTCCCCTCCCTGCTGTGGTTCCTCTCCTCCCCTCCCTGCTGTGGTTCCTCTCCTCCCCTCCTTGCTGTGGTTCCTCTCCTCCCCTCCCTGCTGTGGTTCCTCTCCTCCCCTCCCTGCTGTGGTTCCTCTCCTCCCCTCCCTGCTGTGGTTCCTCTCCTCCCCTCCCTGCTGTGGTTCCTCTCCTCCCCTCCCTGCTGTGGTTCCTCTCCTCCCCTCCCTGCTGTGGTTCCTCTCCTCCCCTCCCTGCTGTGGTTCCTCTCCTCCCCTCCCTGCTGTGGTTCCTCTCCTCCCCTCCCTGCTGTGGTTCCTCTCCTCCCCTCCCTGCTGTGGTTCCTCTCCTCCCCTCCCTGCTGTGGTTCCTCTCCTCCCCTCCCTGCTGTGGTTCCTCTCCTCCCCTCCCTGCTGTGGTTCCTCTCCTCCCCTCCCTGCTGTGGTTCCTCTCCTCCCCTCCCTGCTGTGGTTCCTCTCCTCCCCTCCCTGCTGTGGTTCCTCTCCTCCCCTCCCTGCTGTGGTTCCTCTCCTCCCCTCCCTGCTGTGGTTCCTCTCCTCCCCTCCCTGCTGTGGTTCCTCTCCTCTCCTCCCTGCTGTGGTTCCTCTCCTCCCCTCCCTGCTGTGGTTCCTCTCCTCCCCTCCCTGCTGTGGTTCCTCTCCTCCCTCCCCTGCTGTGGTTCCCCTGTCCCCACATCTGCTCTTACCCCAAGCTCGGAGCTCTGCAATTCCACCATTCATCTCCTCTAGACGTGCACTGACGCCACCCTCCTTGTCGGATTGCGGGGTTGTGGTCTTGGCCTATACTCCTCGAACCCCGACTCATGGACGAACAAGCCAAAATTCCCCCACCTAAACCCCTTCATCCGTGGGTCGTAGACAGGGTTCACCTGGCTGAAATGATCCGTCACTGCCCGCTTCACCGCCCTGCGGATGCTTGCCACCCACCGCGTGTTCTTTCGGTGGGAGTTTGTGAGGTTCATCGTCGACTTCGTGACCTTCGACAAGCCGTAGTCAATCTGCATTGTTAAAATAGGGGAGCATGGACAGATTCAAGCGTGATAAGTGTGAGAGGTCGGAATCATGTGGGGCAAGCACAACATCCAGTGAAGTACGCCATGGTGGTAGAGTGTGAGCATGAAAGGTGATAGAGGAGTGGGGCAGCTTCTGAAAGGAAGAGGAAACCAAAGAGTGTTCGGAAACACGGGAGGGGAAGGATACTGATGGGTACTGCATGGACGTGAGGGGATTGGTGAAAAATATTAACAACGTAAGCCCGTGAGTGAAATCGTGAACCCAGAGTGGGCGCAACTCCCCTGGGCAGGTGGATACCAAGGTTTCAAGAAGCACCTGAGAGAGAGGTGGAAACACGGGGGTTTAAGGTTTACACGGGATGGCACGGGTTTACCAAGGAGAAAAGTGTGGGATGAGAAACAAGTAAAAGGACCCTCACAAGCCACTCACCACCAAGATAGTCCAGGCAATATGATACGCCTTCAAGCATATGTCGTTCCCCATGGCAAATTCACCAAAGGCGTCCATTGCTGCGTTGAAGAAGATCTCGTTGCCGAACGGGAGATCAGTAACCTCAGCATTTCCCCATGTGCTCAGTTGGGCGTCGGCACCTGCAACACAGGCGAACGAAGGTGGTTCAATGGGTGGGGTGTGAAAAGGGAAGAGGGTGGATGGGCTGGCGAATCACAGGTTTCTACAACGGTCCATGTAAAGGAAACGCCAAGCTATGGAGTACAGATATGGGGTGTTGCAAGAAACGGGTGCTAGGGCTGAGATGGTGAAACAAGGGGGAGGGGGGGAGGGTGGGGGAAAAGGTCAGGCAGGTGTTTACTCACTCGGGCCATACTCCCCCCAGAGATCCTACTTGAGCTCAGTGTCGATGTGGATTTCCGCTGCCCGCAAGCCACTCATAGGAACCCCCAACCCCTCGAGCACGGTCCGTTTGACGTAAAACCCGCGCTCGTTCTTCCACTGCGTATACACGCGCTTGAATGCATCCCTCCGTGTTTTATCCGCCATGGCCTCCTTCAGCAATATCAATGGAGCCACATAATGCTCAGAAATGACTTCATGCAAAACAAGAATCCGCTTCTCAAAGCTTGGGTAGAACGTGACAAGATGGTCCTCAGCTTCCATACACATGCGCTTCCTTGCTTCTTCCATGTACAGCTGTTTAAAATGAGAATGTAGGGTAAACCAAAGAATGGGAATGTGGGGTATTGGGAATGAGTATATGTCACTGCTGAGAATGAGACCAGAGGGTGGGATGAGAATGAATCACTGCAGAGAAGGAAACCAGAGAGTGGGAATGTGAATGAGTCACTGCAGGTAATGAGACCAGATGGTGGGATGAGAATGAATCACTGCAGCGAAGGAAACCAGAGTGTGAATGTGAATGAGTCACTGCAGAGAATGAGACCAGAGGGTGGGATGAGAATTAATCTCTGCAGAGAAGGAAACCAGAGAGTGGGAATGTGAATGAGTCACTCCAGAGAAGGAAACCAGAGAGTGGGAGTCACCGCAGAGAATGAGACCAGAGGGTGGGGATGAGAATGAATCACTGCAGAGAAGGAAACCAGAGAGTGGGAATGTGAATGAGTCACAGCAGAGAATGAGACCAGAGGGTGGGATGAGAATGAATCAGTGCATAGAAGGAAACCAGAGAGTGGGAATGTGAATGAGTCGCTGCAGAGAATGAGACCAGAGGGTGGGATGAGAATGAATCACTGTAGAGAAGGAAACCAGAGAGTGGGAATGTGAATGAGTCACAGCAGAGAATGAGACGAGAGGGTGGGATGAGAATGAATCAGTGCAGAGAAGGAAACCAGAGAGTGGGAATGTGAATGAGTCACTGCAGAGAATGGAACCAGAGGGTGGGAATGAGAATGAATCAGTGCATAGAAGGAAACCAGAGAGTGGGAATGTGAATGAGTCACTGCAGAGAATGAGCCTTGAGGGTGGGATGAGAATGAATCACTGCAGAGAAGGAAACCAGAGAGTGGGAGTCACTGCAGAGAATGAGACCAGAGGGTGCGATGAGAATGAATCACTGCAGAGAAGGAAACCAGAGAGTGGGAATGTGAATAAGTCACTGCAGAGAATGGGACCAGAGGGTGGGAATGAGAATGAATCAGTGCATAGAAGGAAACCAGAGAGTGGGAATGTGAATGAGTCACTGCAGAGAATGAGCCTTGAGGGTGGGATGAGAATGAATCACTGCAGAGAAGGAAACCAGAGTGGGAGTCACTGCAGAGAATGAGACCAGAGGGTGGGATGAGAATGAATCACTGCAGAGAAGGAAACCAGAGAGTGGGAGTCACTACAGAGAATGAGACTAGAGGGTGGGATGAGAATGAATCACTGCAGAGAAGGAAACCAGAGAGTGGGAGTCACTGCAGAGAATGAGACCAGAGGGTGGGATGAGAATGAATCACTGCAGACAAGGAAACCAGAGAGTGGGAGTCACTGCAGAGAATGAGACCAGAGGGTGGGATGAGAATGAATCACTGCAGAGAAGGAAACCAGAGAGTGGGAATGTGAATGAGTCACTGCAGAGAATGGGACCAGAGGGTGGGAATGAGAATGAATCAGTGCATAGAAGGAAACCAGAGAGTGGGAATGTGACCAGAGAGTGGGAAAAACTAGACAACTGGAGAAAGAGAATGAAAATGCACCATTGTTCAAACAAAACCGTATAATGAGCAAGCCAGCGAGTCAGGTGTGGCAATCGGTAGGAGAAATTGGTGGCACTTACCTTCAAATTAGTCGCGTTTGGCATCCCATGCCTCCTGGTGATGGGAGTGCCTTGTACAGCGCTCTCCGCCACAGCGCCCGGCGTTTCAGGCGGCTCAGGTTGTTCACTGGATATCGAGGTAAGTGGCGGGATTTGCGTCCCACTTCCCCCCCGGTCCACCGAAGGTCCACGACCGGCCTTTAGCTCGGCAATCTGCCGATTAGCTTCCTGCAATGCCTGGAAGATTTGCTGCATGGATTCATTAGGAGAATTGCTCGAGGTAATGATGGGCACTCCGCTAGCGTCGAGCGGGGAATTGCCTCTTGCCGATGCGAACGGGGGTGGAGTTGCTGGGTCAGAGCGTCCAACTTTCCTGCCATCATTGAACCAATCTCCAACACCACCCGCCTCACCATCTTCCGCCCCCAGCCCCCCACCACAGGCCGGATCGTCACTACCACCGGCTGGATTGTGTGTGTTGTCATGCTGCTGGCCAGCGTTGTCACGCACACTCGAATCTTGAAATCTAGATGCTCTCTTTCCCAATCCTGAGGTGGAAGCAAGGGCAGCATACGGATCGTTGGTTGCTGCCCGTTTCATCCGAACGTTCTCCCGACGATTCGACGGACCAGCATCATCCGAGCTCACCATGGTCCTCATCTCATTGTAGAAGCCAACGTCCCGTCTCACAACAGGACGCTCCTTACAACGCCGCCGGGCGTAACCCTCAGTATCTGCTCGCTTTCCTTGAGCACACTCTCTACGTCTCTGCCGTTTACGTCAACTACCAGCCTTACCACCGGTTGCATGACCACGCTTTCCGCTATAGCGGTGGTTGCGCGCTCCTCCCGCCCTCCCCCCTCTCCTACCGTCGTCATCACTCCCGGACCCAGTTTCAGCGTCATCAATCTCGTCCTCTTCCTCATCATACTTCTCCTCGCTCCCGGATGAACTCCCTGATTCCTCCTCAGAACTATCTTCTCCATCAGAAGATTTGACCTCAGCAGCGGCCTTCTTTCCAGCATTTCTGGACCGTGCCTTCACCCTCCCTGACACCCCCCTCTGATCTTCTAGCTCAGCGCCGCGGCTCTCCCTCCCACCCTCCTCATGCCCTCGAACATTGTGTGCATCCGCCGCACGAACACATGCTGGAGTAGAGGGAGAAGACGCATCATGCTTCATATCACGCTCTCCCTCACGCTTCACCCCACGCTCCCCCACACGCTTCACATCACGGTCTCCCTCACGCTTCACATCCCGCTCTCCCTCATGCTCTCCCTCTCGCTCTCCCTCACGCTTCACATCACGCTCTCCCTCACGCTCTCCCTCACGCTCTCCCTCACGCTCAGCCTCACGCTCTCCCTCCCGCCTGCCCTCACGCCTGCCTTCACGCCTGCCCTCAAGCCCTCCCTCACGCCTGCCCTCACGCTCTCCATCACGCTCATCCCCACGCTTATGCCCTTTCTCTGGCAGTTGCTCCTTGTCATCTACATCTTGCACGATTCCTGTTGCACCAGCCGCGTATTGTCTTTCTTTCTTATTTTTATTGGCTCCAGCGAGGGTACCTACAACACGCATGAATTAAGGACAATACGCTCAGTTAATAGGAGGGCAGCACCTCTTTGGATTGGGTGTGAACACATCCAAATTATTAACGAGCAACTTTAAGACATGCAAACTTGAAGAAGCTGGATAAAAGCTCATTGCGTACCTTTCCTCCCCGTAGCAGGTTTGCACTGGTCCAACGGCTTCAACTTTCGACCGTTCCTCCACCCGCATGAACCGCCGCGTCTAACCTTGCCATCGTAGGCCTTTTCTTCAGATTGCTCACTATCCGATGAAGATGCCCCTTCCGATTCCACCTTGGCATTGCGTGCAGGAAGTGTGTTCTTCCGACGATACCGCACAACTAGCTGGGAGGTATGGTGAGGCGTCATCTTGTTGTGCAGCTGCTGTTCCGCGTCGGTTTTCACGTCGCCCGAGGGATGTAAAGCTCCAGCGCTACCGAGGAGCACACTAGCATTGGCCTGTTCAGAAACGATGATGTCTGCCATCTCTCTATCAATTCCGCTAAACAAGCCCAATTAACGGTTACAAAATTCTGCTGTGCATCCCCAAGTATCAAGTTTTCCATAAATACGTGTTAGAGACGCAAGGAACAGCGGCGCGCGAGCTGGACGTGCCTACCAGAACAAGAGCGCGCAATCGCACTACGTGCCCGCGAAACTCGCCAACGGCCGCGAAACGCGCCCTTGGTGGACGCGCCGTCAGATAACATCACCGCCTTCCCAGAGCAGGACGAGCCTACTACGAGAGCCAATCGCAACGCCAAAGCAGGATGTGCTTCCTACGAGAGCCACTCGGAGCACCATAGCTGGATGAGCCTATTACGAGAACAGCGAGGTGGCGGCTATTACATGCTACCACTGCCATATTCTCACTTTGCATCGAGTGCCAGAGGGAACATCGACATTGACTACCAGGTAGTACTACTACCGTTGTTGCTTGACGTGCCTACCGTAGGGGGGTATCGTGACGAGAACCGAACGGCTTCCAGCAAGACGAACGAGGTGCTTCGAACGTGGAGCATAGCGAGGTCTCATCTCCCGGCATGAGAATCGGCATGAAGATGCTTGTTCCTGTAACGAGTTACCAGGTGGCAGCACGTTGGGTGGTGGGGGTTGGTGCAGCGCAACAGTTTAGCTGCCCTGGGGGTTGCAAGGAACGCGCTGTCAATGAGCCAATGCTTCGAATCCTAAATTGCAGCAGACTACTTGGGCTAGAACGCCCTAGCGCCCACAATGCCTGATCGGAATTATAAGTGCGTCAAGTAGAAAGTAATTACATGCATGAGCACGGGAACTGAACCAAGCCTTGCCGCACACCAAAAAATAAAATCGATGTGACTGCAGCAAATTGGCAGCGCGTTGTCGGCGCACATTTGTGCGTTCGGAGCCGTGATGGATGCAAGACATCGCGGTTTGAGAATACCCCGAGTGTTTGCGTTGAAACATTGATTTCGTGGCACGGCTATTGGTAGCGGGGATGTAACATGATTGATGCGATAAGGGAATGACGATTTTGGGAAATGTTGAAAGGTTCACAAAGTTTCCCTTCAAAACAAGGTGCTCACAGGTTGCTTCAAACTAATCATCCTGCACGCGTAAACTAACAGTGTCAGTCCGGCCGCCGTATCGCACACTGGTATGCTTCTGTGCATTTGCAGTCTCAGATTAGGGTGAATACTTGGCGTGACTTACAACGACTATACCAGTGTTCACACCTAGCAACCATCAATAAACATTGTGCAATTCGTGAGAGCAAGCACAATTTGGATCACATCAACAACTGGCTTGCCGCGTAGATGTTACGGCCTTGGAGATGATAGAAGCTGCATAGTGTCCACATTACTACGCTCACGGGCCGATGCATAGCACCCTTTCTAGGGCGCTGCAGAAGGACGATTCACGTTGAGGTGCATGTGAAAGTGAAATACTCACATGGTTGCCTGCCATGCCTCTTGGAGGTTGTTCCTGACTACTCATCAAGTTCAGCAAGACCCCAACCACTATGTTGTGTTTCTGAGTGTCCTGACTAACACCATGTAGTGGTCGGCTTAGAGCTTAACACACCATGCAAAGCAGTTACCGTACTGTCATGTCAGTTTCCATCAAGCGTCGAGCAGTACGAAGCAACAGATTCTCAGGTGCAAATGCATGTCACTAACCAACACCAAGCAGGCTTAATGGCATCAATCAGCCTGGATCGACCCACATGCATTGTGATAGACACAGGACCACCTAGCCAAATCGTCACGATACTGGCGCCTCCACTGTCCTGGCGTCCCGGCCAAGTCACACGCATTCAATCTGTCGAACTTGGTCTCGACAAGCGTATGAATGACACGCATCACAAAAACGCCACAGTCGTTCTCGTTGTCTTGCTGACGCACCTGCATAGCGCACTCGGAGTGGATGGTGCTTGTATTATGCATAATCCCACGCCTGTCCATGCACCGCCGTCCCTCCCACTCCCTTACCCATCCGCACATCGCGCGCCTGTCCATGCTTCACCGTCCCTCCCACTCCCCATTCCCATTCGCGCATCCCACGCCTGTCCATGCATAGCCGTCTCTCCCACTCCCTACTCATCCGCGCATCCCACGTCTGTCCATGCATAGCCTACTCTCCTACCCCCTTACCCATCCGCGCATCCCACGCCTGTCCATGCACCGCCGTCCCTCCCACTCCCTTATCCATGCGCACATCGCGCGCGTGTTCATGCTCCACTGTCCCTCCCACTCCCCATTACCATTCGCGCATCCCACGCCTGTCCATGCATAGCCGTCTTTCCCACTCCCTACTCATCCGCGCATCCCACGCCTGTCCATGCATAGCCTACCCTCCTACCCCCTTACCCATCCGCGCATCCCACGCCTGTCCATGCACCGCCGTCCCTCCCACTCCCTTACCCATGCGCACATCGCGCGCCTGTCCATGCTCCACTGTCCCTCCCACTCCCCATTCCCATTCGCGCATCCTACGCCTGTCCATGCATAGCCGTCTTTCCCACTCCCTACTCATCCGCGCATCCCACGCCTGTCCATGCATAGCCTACTCTCCTACCTCCTTACCCATACGCGCATTTCACACCTGTCCATGCACCGCCGTCCCTCCCACTCCCTTACCCATCCGCGCATTTTACGCCTGTCCATGCACCGCCGTCCCTCCCACTCCCTTACCCATCCGCGCATCGCGCGCCTATCCATGCTCCACCATCCCTCCCACTCCCTATTCCCATTCGCGCATCCCACGCCCGTCCATGCACAACCGGGTATCCCGTGCACGTACCTCAATGACGTGTAAATGGATCGCGTCAGCCCACGATTTTGCCTCTGTCTCCGTGACCCATGCGTAGCGCTTCATGACGTTTGTCATCAAACATCTGCGCATTGGGACGTACATGTAGTTAGGATCGGTCCGCAATACACAAGTTTCATAAGCATCACGAATAGCTCACTTTTTTAATAGACCATCGATGTCGACGTGACTTGCATATGAGTCCGCATGCCACAATACACACTTGATCGGGATGAGAGATCCTGGAGCATGGTTGATTTCGATGACTCCAAGGCTCCAGTGCGCACTGCATTTTGGAATCATTCAAAGATCATTAGATTGCTGCAACCTTGAACGTATGAATCCTTCAAACAATCGCCCGAGCACTTACTCCTTGTTAATCGGAACAAGCACGTGTTTAAACGATAAGATGTCGAGGCCATATGCCAGCCTAGTGATTCTCTTAGACCCCGGCCGCGCGACGAGTGTCCAGAAATACGGCGATGTGCAAAGCCACTCAACATTTTTGAGTCCGTTCTCATAGTGTAACATCCTGCGGGAACGCCATGGAAATGTGGAAACTCGCGGTAGCGCGTGAGTAAATTTGATCAAGGTGCCGCCATGACTATTACCTTTGCGTTTTAAGCTACTCACGATGATAGCCACTCAATAACCGTGCCACTAATCCACTGCTCGTTTCTCAACGTGCAGTAATCTGAGGGCTTGATTTCAAGCCACCCCCCCCCAAACGGGGATGGCGTGCTCATGTGCTGGAAACGACATCGCGATAACTTGGGTATGCCCTTCTCCTCCATACCTTGAGATAGTAAACTCACAGGGTCGAAATTCCGTTGCCCAGGCAGCTCAACGAAAAGTCGAAGCAGGTACTGTAGTTCCTGAAGTAGGACCCACATGCCCTTGCTTTTCGCTGGTCAACTTTGTGCCAAAATCCCTGCTCTTAATACGTCGTCAGCGAATAGCGTGCTCGTGATATCTTGTCAACATGGTGAACAGTTTGGAGAAGTCTGACAGGATTCTCTGCTCCAATGACATTCGAGCGGCTTGTGTATTTCTGACACAATTGGCGTGTATGCGAAATTGATGTCAGGTCCATGTTGCATGTGGAAATGTTCCCAGCTCGGTACAAAACTTCGTCAGGTTGCTGCAACAAGAGAGCTGTTTTTGTACGCGACAACAGTTACAATATGCGGAGTATGAGAGTCGCATGGCCCACTCGCCCAACTGCGCGTGGTCGCGCACCAACAAACTGGGTGACCTAAATTTGAGCAGAACGCCACAAACCCTAACCAATTGCATACCAACTACCGACACCCGATAACCAATCGCCAATCAGGGTCAATGGAAACAGGTGTTCAGACTCAGATCGCCAATTCGTATTCGCGCCCAACCCTTCCCTCGTAAACTATCGTCCATTCGACAGGCGCTATCTCATTCTTGTGCAGTGTTGGCATTCACATATCAAACTGGTGTGCCAAACATCCTTTCAGTCTTACGGACAGATCTGCTCGATGGAGGCTCAGGCTTGTGAGTTCTGCAATAAGCGCGTGTAGTGCTATCAATACGTAAGTAGCCATCAAGCGGGCTCAAAAACGCAAGGCTGAAGAGGATGCTAAACGTAAGAAGCTAGACCGTGGCGTGGAGAAGCAGTATACCTTTGTTCCGTTAGCAACAGCCACCCTTCCCGCGCCAGCGCATTCAATTCCTATAGCGGCACTTCCGAACGCAGTAGAGCAGCACCCGCAGCCGGCAGAGCGAGTTCCTGATGCGGTTCGTACGTGCAGCACCACACTCGTGGTGGAAGAAGCTCCTACAGAGGAAATTCTTGATGTTAAGGCGGAAATATGCATTTTGGCACGATCTCACGGTCTAACCAACGGGGCGATAAACGACACAATACAGTTAGTTAGACACCCAAAATTAGATCCAAAGCAGCTGGACGATTGGAACAGCTACAGGGACCTGGAGAAGTACGAGAACAGCTTTGACCTTATAGCGGAGAATGAATGGATCGTCGAGGAGATCGAAGTGGATCATGAGGTTGGGTTTCTCACCTTCAAGCGCCGAAACGCGATAACTGTGAGTGCATCCATGCGTGCGGGGTCACGTTTGTCACAGTGGAATGTGTTTTCTGAGACCGACTAAACCATCAGTCCAAATGGAACCATCAATCCTATGCTTCTGTTTTCCATCATTGTTGCCATCCTTATCACCATCAGCTCCTTCAGTCCATGTTCAACAAGATGTCGGCTGTCAAGGGATTCAGCATCATGCCTTAAGAGTGGAAGGTTGATGGGGTTCGCCGCTACAGTACCCCTGCAAACACGGATTGGATGCCCGAGGCTTGGGTAAGTTCCATGCCATCTAATGTCGCGTTGGACACGAGCATTGAAACCTAGGATCCAATACGTCTTTCCTTCCCTTTATCATCACTGTGGCAGGAAAGGGTGCGGAAGTTTGGCATAGTTATAGCTCTCATTTTGTTCTCAGACCAGACCAATCTATCGTACAACGGGCGCCAATCTGCCCACCCATTTCTGTCGTCCTTTGGGAACATTCCTGAATGGGCTAGGTGGCTTGAAGGAGGCACTGAGCTTCTCGGGCTCCTGCCTAACATCCCAGCTGACCTCTCGCCAGAAGAGAAGGTTCAAGTGTTCCAGGACGCTGCAGAGATCATGATTCGAGATTTAAAGGCGGCTTCACATCTTTCAGGGTGAGACACTGCTACTCTCGCCCAAAGGCGCGCATCCCTTGTACTCTCCAGAATCCACCACACTACCCTACTTATTTTCATTGCCTGTCTAATCCACACTCCCCTCCCTTTTTGACCCCCCTTCTCCTCTGTTCTTCTTTCGCATGCGTGCCACGACGCCGGATTCAATCAAAAGTACTCTGCTCCCAACCACCATGCTTCACCTAATACCATTCGGGTTCCTCCTGTACCACCGTCTCCTGCCGTTGAAACCATCCCTGCTTGCTGTCCCCCTCCTCCTAACCGTCCTTCATCTGCTTGCTTACAGCAACCCATGCTCACACCATCAGTGACATATCTAACATGGTCTCCCATCCTCGCCATACCCCCCCCTGCTTTACCCCTCATCCTGGCGGCTGTGCAGGGGCGGTGTGATGGTGGAAGACAGTGCCGGCGTGCAGTATAGAGCATTCACGCTCCTTTATTCATGGGTGGCCGATCACCCGGAGTCTTCTAAGATCACCTGTACGATGGCATGCAACTCACACCATCCGTGCTCGTTGTGCTTGGCTGAAAAGGAGGGCCTGGATGAGATGAACTTTGAGTTGACTCAACAGCCAACTGATAAGAAGCGCCTGGATGAGCAGGACGAGACCATTGTCCCCAGAAATGTCGAGGGTCAGAAGGAATCTGCGAAAACCAAAAAGAAGCAGGAAGACACCATTGTCCTTAGAACTGTCAAGGGCCAAAAGGATTTTCACAAGGAGATGAAAGCCGCGAAGACCAAAAAGGAGCTGAAGGCGGTGACGAAGAAGTCCTCTGCACACTTTGTGAAGGTGCGCCTTGCCCAGCTTGCTCCGCGTGCATCCTTGTGGTTCTCATATGGTTTCCCTCCGTATCCACCATATACTGCTGTGGCTAGTGTGCCCGAAAACCTACTCCGATCTGCATCTTGCAGTTCGTATTTATTATCCTGACCCGCCATAGTGAGTTTGTGTCCTTGACCCCCGACGCAGAGCCTTTTGTGGGACTGGGAATTCGCAAAAACTCTCTGGGGCAACACGTACCTTGCTATGCCCCCGGACATCATGCACATCTGGGAGCAGGGCATATGGCTGCATGCCATGAAGTGCCTGGTGAAGAAGCTGACCCCGAGGGAACGGAAGATTCTTCTGGAGTGAGTTGTTCCGCGCCCTGCTTTATGCTACTCCCCTCCGTGCTTGCTTTCCGCGCCCTGCTTCATACTACTCCCCTCCGTGCTTGCTTTCCGCGCCCTAATTCATGCTACTCCCCTCCGTGCTTGCTTTCCGTGCTCTGACTAACTGTTGTTCACGCCTAGGCGATACAAGATTTTGAAGGAGGCCACACCAGCTTCCGTGCTACGTCTTCCTTCGGCGTGGGCCTACTTCACATCCACTGCCTGCTTTTCAGCTGCAGAGCATCGGGCGATGATGCAGGTCCTGGCCCTCATCATCAACCTCCCAGGATGAGAAGATATCCGCACGGCCATTGTCAAGATGGTCGAGTGGTACAAGGAGTTCATCCGCGCTGAGTACCACACCGACGAATCTCTGGAACGGATGAAAGACACCACCATCAAGTAATTAGTCCATCTGTGATGTGGTTTCCCAGGCCCATCTTCTCCCTTTGCACTGCATCGTTGTCCCTCCATAACCCACCTCCTTGCTCCCTCCTTCCGTGTTTCTGTTTTCGCTGTCTGCTTCCTCACTCCCCCTCCCGCATCCCGTTTCTCCCTTCCCGGCCTGCATTCCCCCTCTTAACTGCATGCCTTGTGTCTAAATTTTCTCCAGGATGGTGAAGGCTCTTCGTGTCGCTTTCCCTAAGCAGAAGTTAAAGTGGAAAATTGTTAAGATTCATCTTCTCGTTCACCTCCCATCAACCATCCGTATGAGGGGGATCCCTGCCGAGTACTCGTCGAACTGCTACGAGCACTCCCACAAGACCACTGTGAAGCGTCCTTCACGTGGCACGAACTGGAAGAATGTTGAAGATCGAATCGTCCGGAAACACCTGGAGCATGCGGTAGTTAGGCAACTCGTGCGGGAGGCCGGAGGGGACAGCACGTACGAGACCTCGATGAAAGAGGTGAGTTTTACGAACCTGCTCTGTTCCCCTTCACCCCGTCGTCTGCTAAGTTTCCCTATTTTAATCCCATGCTGTGATCTCCTGAAGTGATGCCATGCTCTATTCTCTTGCTCGGTTCCCCTCCTCTGTTCCGCTGCTCTGTTTCCCTGCTCGGCTCTCTTGCTCTCTCCCCCTGCTCTGTTTCCCTGCTCGGTTCTCCTTCTCTCTCCCCGTGCTCTGTTCCTCTAGTCATTTCCCCTTCTTTGTTATCTGCTCTGTTTCCCAGCTGTGTTCCCTACTGTGTCTTCCCCGCTTTGTTCCCTGCACTGTTATCCTCTGCCATGTTCCGTTCTGTGTCTGCCCTGCTTTGTGCCCTGCTGTATTCCCTTCAGTTTCCCTGCTATGCTCCCTTCTGTGTCTGCCCTGCTCTGTGCCATGTTCAGTTTGCCCGAGCTCGGTTCTCATGCTCTCTCCCCTGCCCTGTTTCCCTGCTCGGTTCTCATGCTCTCTCCCGTGCCCTGTTTCCCTGCTCGGTTCTCATGCTCTTTCCTGCTCTGTTTCGCTGCTTGGGTCTCATGCTCTCCCCCCCTGCTCTTTTTCCCTGCTCGGCTCTCTTGCTCTCACACTGCTCTGTTCCCCTCGTCATTTCCCCTTCTTTGTTATCCGCTCTGTTACCCTGCTATGTTCCATACTGTGTCTCCCCTACTCGGTGCCCTGTTCTGTTTCCCTGCTCTGTTCCCTGCGCTGTTACCCTGCCATGTTCCGTTCTGTGTCTGCCCTACTCTGTGCCCTGCTCTGTTCCCTTCACCGTTTCCCTGATTTGTTCACTTCTGTGTCTGCCCTGCTCTGTGCCCCGCTCTGTTCCCTTCACTGTTTCCCTGATTCGTTCACTTCTGTGTCTGCCCTGCTATGTGCCCCGCTCTGTTCCCTTCACTGTTTCCCTGATTTGTTCACTTCTGTGTCTGCCCTGCTATGTGCCCCGCTCTGTTCCCTTCACTGTTTACTTGATTTGTTCACTTCTGTGTCTGCCCTGCTCTGTGCCCCGCTCTGTTCCCTTCACCGCTTCCCTGATTTGTTCACTTCTGTGTCTGCCCTGCTCTGTGCCACGTTCTGTTCGCTCGTCTCTTTGCCCGCATTTCTGTTTCCATGCTCTCTGCATGAGTTGGCAATCACATTTAGGACCAACCTAACCAAAGTAATCGATTCCTACCCCCCCATAACCTTCTTCGTCCCCACAACCTCTCCCCCTTTCCCCCACACCCATTCCCCCTTCGTGGCCTTTCCCTTCTTCGCCTACACCTCGCATCCATCCCCTATCCCCCCCCCTCCTCCTCCCTCCAAAAGGACTCACCATAAAACCCTCCCCCTCCCTATACCAACCCTCTCCTCTCCACGGTGAAAGGCATGCCTGGCTGGCCGGAGGGTACTTACTAAGACCCACAAGAAGATGGTCCTGGGGGACATCACCGACTCAGTGTTTCGGAGCAAGGTCTTGACTGTTGGTGAACCCGCCATGAGTGCGATGGTTCTGTGACTCAGACGGGCAGGCATCAACACGCCAGTTTTGCAGGTGCTAAACCGGTCGTATGGATATGCCATTTTTTCTCACTGCCGCCGAATCCACCCACTCCAGCCCCCCTTCCCCCTCTCCTGCATGCTTTCCACTCACTCCAGCCCCGCTTCCCCCTCTCCTGCATGCTTTCCACTCACTCCAGCCCCCCTTCCCCCTCTCCTGCATGCTTTCCACTCACTCCAGCCCCGCTTCCCCCTCTCCTGCATGCTTTCCACTCACTCCAGCTCCGTTTCCCCCTCTCCTGCATGCTTTCCACCCACTCCAGCCCCCCTTCCCCCTCTCCTGCATGCTTTCCACTCACTCCAGCCCCCCTTCCCCCTCTCCTGCATGCTTTCCACTCACTCCAGCCCCCCTTCCCCCTCTCCTGCATGCTTTCCACTCACTCCAGCCCCGCTTCCCACTCTCCTGCATGCTTTCCACTCACTCCAGCCCCCCTTCCCACTCTCCTGCATGCTTTCCACCCACTCCAGACCCCCCTTCCCCCTCTCCTGCATGCTTTCCACCCACTCCAGCCCCCCTTCCCCCTCTCCTGCATGCTTTCCACTCACTCCAGCCCCCCTTCCCCCTCTCCTGCATGCTTTCCACCCACTCCAGCCCCCCTTCCCCCTCTCCAAAATGCTTTCCACTCACTCCAGCCGCGCTTCCCCCTCTCCTGCATGCTTTCCACCCACTCCAGCCCCCCTTCCCCCTCTCCTGCATGCTTTCCACCCACTATAGCCCCCCTTCCCCCTCTCCTGCATGCTTTCCACCCACTCCAGCCCTCCTTCCCCCTCTCCTGCATGCTTTCCACTCACTCCAGCCCCCCTTCCCCCTCTCCTGCATGCTTTCCACCCACTCCAGCCCCCCTTCCCCCTCTCCTGCATGCTTTCCACCCACTCCAGCCCCCCTTCCCCCTCTCCAAAATGCTTTCCACCCACTCCAGCCCCCCTTCCCCCTCTCCAAAATGCTTTTCCACTCACTCCAGCCCCCCTTCCCACTCTCCTGCATGCTTTCCACCCACTCCAGACCCCCCTTCCCCCTCTCCTGCATGCTTTCCACCCACTCCAGCCCCCCTTCCCCCTCTCCAAAATGCTTTCCACCCACTCCAGCCCCCCTTCCTCCTCTCCAAAATGCTTTTCCACCCACTCCAGCCCTTGGCCAATTTCCCCCTTTCGCTATGCTCTCCACCGCCTCTTTCGCTGGTTTCACATTTTCTTGGTTCATGCTCGTGGTTTCAGGTGCACACGGCACTTGCGATTCCGCCCCACGACAAGATGGAATGGACGTCAAGGGGGCAGTTTGTCAAGGCTAGCCCGGGCGAGAAGAACTTCTCATCTGTTGCAATCAACCCTGCAGGGAAGGGGTCCCCCTGGTACGACCGTTGTCTTGTCCTGTTTCACTACAACAAAGATGGGGAGCTGAGGCGCGGAGCATACGTGGAGTATCACACCGAGGACAAGCGACTATGCCCGTCAACGGGATGCAAGCGCCTTCTACCCACAGAGGGCGAGGATGATTTTGCAGTGATTGATGTCGACTGCATTCTCAGTCTCGTACACATTGTTCCCTCATGTGAGGACGATGAAGTGAGCCTTCTTAATAGATTCGTTTGGTGAGGTCTAGCGAACGTAGAGAACTTTGACGTATTGTGACTTTTGTAAACATGAAATTGTTCCCTGACTATGTTCTTTTTAGGCGTTGTAAGAATATAATAGGTGTAAAATTTCCTTCAAATGGTTAAACATGACTCTTGGAAACACTATTTTCATAGAGAAAATTACATCATCATATTCAAGGAAACATAAGTGCAAATGTCATGAATGTAACAAATGGTACACAAAAGCCTACACGAGGAATTCTTGGAGAGAATCAAATTTCTCGCTATCTGCTCCCACGCGAAGAGACATGCTCGACTATCTGTTAGGCCCGGAACCCTAATCCTGCGCACAAGCAAGAAATAGTTAGGAGCAAACATTCATAATGTGACTCGAAAACATTCCGCCAAAGGCAAACGTTTTTTAGAGTTTCCCTGTACGTTTGTCAAACGCTTGTCAAACGTACGATAGGCTGCCGCGAATGTCAGATGATTTTTAGACACACGCATTTTTGTGATGTAGCAGCGATTTTGCTGGTTGCTCAGGCCAGCGGAGGATCGTTCGCTGGGTTCAAGTCTGGTAACCACATCGTACTTCTCGCCACAGGCGGAAAATGTGGACCACCCAGGATTTGGACGCTAGGTTCTGATTCCAGTATGACACCTCACCACCCGCTGGGTCAAAACGAGGGTGTTATATTGGCGCAGGGGATCGTTACACTAACTCCCCATTAGGGCACCCATTTTGGATCACCAGTGGCCCCATTCTTCGTCCCTATTGCCCTATACTCTCCTTCCCACTCAACTCTCCCAATCACCCCGTTTCCCCCCCGTGTGCGCAGTGCGCGTGCTGGTGCAGCTGCAGGAGGGGTGGGGGGGCGCGTGGGCGGGCAATAGAAACGCCACCACGGCGTGCTCTGCGTGGGCTGGCGTCACCTGCAGCCCCGACGGGCTCGTCCTTGCCCTGTGAGTCACTCACGTATCGCCCTAAGGGTCTCGTCCTTTCCCTGTGAGTCACTCACGTACCGCCCTAAGGATCTCGTCCTTGCCCTGTGAGTCACAACGGGGCCGTCCTTGCCCTGTGAGTCGTGCACGAGCGGTCCGAAGGGGAAAATGTATCTGCAGTGTGCGTCACAGGATTAAACCCCCTGGGAGCACTGGATCTTGCACAGCACTGAGCACCTCCTCCTTGAACCCGCACGTGTACTGAAGGCGTGGTTATTGAACGCGAAATCCAAACATCCAGTGCCCGGGGTCTGGAAACACGAAGGAGAACTACCGTTGGTTGGACAGCTGAGAGGCTGAATGATGTGATGTTCCTTTTCTTCAATGTGCACGTGGATGTGTATGCATGGCTGCACATGGATGTGTATGCATGGCTGCACATGGATGTGTGTGCATGGCTGCACGTGGATGTGTATGCATGGCTGCACATGGATGTGTATGCATGGCTGCACGTGGATGTGTATGCATGGCTGCACATGGATGTGTATGCATGGCTGCACATGGATGTGTATGCATGGCTGCACATGGATGTGTATGCATTGCTGCACATGGATGTGTATGCATGGCTGCACATGGATGTGTATGCATGGCTGCACGTAGATGTGTATGCATGGCTGCACGTGGATGTGTATGCATGGCTGCACGTGGATGTGTATGCATGGCTGCACGCGGATGTGTATGCATGGCTGCACGCGGATGTGTATGCATGGCTGCACGCGGATGTGTATGCATGGCTGCACGCGGATGTGTATGCATGGCTGCACGCGGATGTGTATGCATGGCTGCACGCGTATGTGTATGCATGGCTGCATGCGGATATGTATGCATTGCTGCACGTGGATGTGTATGCGTGTGCATGTGTGTGTGTGTGTGTGTGTGTGTGTGTGTGTGTGTGTGTGTGTGTGTGTGTGTGTGTGTGTGTGTGTGTCGGCGCGCGCGCACATGTGTGTGCGTGCGCACATGAGAGTGTGCATGTCCGAGTGCCGGTGCATATGTGTGGCATGTGCGTGCGCCTGTGAGTGCATGTGCGTGTGTATGCATGCACGTGTGTGTGAGAGTGTACGTGTGTGAGTGTATGTGAGTGTATGTATGTGTGTGTGTGTGAGTGCATGTGTGTGAGTGCATGTGTGTGAGTGCACGTGTGTGAGTGCACGTGTGTGTGTGTGTGTGTGTGTGTGTGTGTGTGTGTGTGTGAGTCCATGTGTGTGAGTGCACGTGTGTGAGTCAAGGTGCAAAAAAACGACGTTTTTTTCAATTTTTTATCGTAAAATACCGTATCGTAAGAAACGATCGTAAAAAACGATAAAAAACGGTTTTTGAAAATATTTACTTTTGGTGCAAAAAAACCTTCGTTTTTTTCAGTAAAAAGACCAAAACTGCTGCTGAAACAAGGGGATTGACTGGTGAGAAGAACCAGGGGGCTGTTAGAAGTGCTGATGATGCAGCGGAAGATTCTTAGAAGTGCTTTTGTGATCAGAACAACATCTTTGAAGTTGAAGAGTTTTTTTTGTCTAACAAAAAAACGACGTTTTTTTCCCAATAGATACCGTAAAAAACCATTGAAAAAAACAATCGTATTTTTCGACAATCGCTTTTTTCTACCTTGGTGTGAGTGCACGTGTGTGAGTGTGTGAGTGTGTGTGTGTGTGTGTGAGTGCATGTGTGTGAGTGCATGTGTTTGAGTGCACGTGTGTGAGTGCACGTGTGTGAGTGTGTGTGTGAGTGTGTGTGTGTGTGTGAGTGCACGTGTGTGTGTGCACGTGTGTGTATGCATGCACGTGTGTGTATGCATGCACGTGTGTGTATGCATGCACGTGTGTGTATGCATGCACGTGTGTGTATGCATGCACGTGTGTGTATGCATGCACGTGTGTGTGTGCACGTATGCCCTGGCAGGGACTCCAACGCCCATGGATCCTCCTCCCACCGGCGCCATTCCTGCTGCCATCACTGACCTCACCACCCTTCAATACCTGTCCGTCCCCGCTACCCTCTCCCTCCCTCTCCCTCTCCCTCTCATCCTGCCTGCCAAGGCTCAAAATTACGACCGAATTATTGATTTTTTACCGTATAATACGGAATCGTACTATACGACCGTAAAAAACGGCTTAAAACGGTGGATGTGTGTTTTTATTGTTTGGTTCAAAAATGCGGTCGTATTTTACGACCGAAATTTTGAATTCGGGTCTGTGTATATCGAAGCCTCAATTTTCCCACCCATGTTTCTCCCGAAGTCAAATTTCTCGCACACCCGTACAGACGAAAGTGACGTTTTGCCGAGTCGCGAATGTCACGACTTTCTTGAGTCGTGACATTTGGGCATTTGGCGAAGGCGAATGTTGAGTTTACCTGTTTCGCCAACTCGTTGGCATTACTCGCCGAAGCGCAAAGTGTACAAATAACCTTGGCGCGACATTTCAACAGTTGGGGAACGGTAAACACAGGTTTACCCGTTTCGCTTTGCCCGTTTAGGATTTTCGCGCACCGCATTTCTTTTTCGCTGGCAATCGCGACACACCCAACCGACGCGATGCGAAACCAATCAACTTACCCCTCGTGATCTCAACCGTTTTCCACAACCCACTCGACACAGCACGCCAAGACTTCACAACGAGGTACTCAACTCACCCTTCACTCACCCCAACCGCCGCTCGCTCTTGTTAGAAGAAAAAAAGCATCAAAACAAGTCTTTAAAAAATACGCCGTATTTTTGGAAATTTCACCGTATAAAACGACCGTATTATACGGACCGTATAATACGATTACCGTAATTTTGATCCTTGCTGCCTGCACCATGTTTTCCTTTCCCCTTGCTCCTCCCTTGTGCCCCTGTTCATCCTCACTCCCCTCTTCATGCAACCTGCCTCGTGACTCCGTCCTTGCCACACCATGTCCTTTTCCTCCCTCTTACACTCCCTCATTCTAATCATTCTACCTACTTATTTCCAGCACCCCCCTTACCCCCTCCCTCGGGTTGGGTTCCCCTTGCTGACGAGAAAAGGCCCACTATTCAAAACGCCCTTAACTTAACCACAAGAGTGCCACCTCCTCCCCTCTCCTCCCCCCCCCCCCCCTCGTCCCCCCCCAATTCTCCCTCTCTGTTTGTCTCCCTGCAGCGATCTGACGTACGGCATCAACCTGGAGGGCCCCATGCCATCCCTTGCATCTCTCACCCGCCTTACCCACCTGTACGTCTCACACCCTCCTCTCCTCTCCCATCACCAGTAACACACCTCCCATTCCCACACATCCCCTCACCGCCCCTCCTGCTCTCTCGCAGTGACTACATGTGACCTCTGATCCGTGATGCTCTTCTGGCCTGTCCTTCCTTGCATGCCCCCCGTTTTCACTCAATCAATCGAGCTTGCTGTTGCCCCCTGCACATGCCCCATCCCTCTGTATGTGCCGCATGCCCCATCCCCCTGCATGTGCCCCTCCCCCCTGCATGTGCCCCATCCCTGTGCCTGTGTGCATCGCTCCCTGCAGCGCCCTGGGAGCAGACGGCTGCTTGCTCACCGGCACTGTGGACCAACTCTCGTGGCTCTCCTCCCTCTCCGCCCTGCACTTATTGTAAGCCCTGCCTCTCCAGTAGGCATGAGCGCAAGGGCAAACACCTGTTCGTTCGAGGTGAACCAAACGCTTTTCTTTATTTGGCCAAAAGTGTTCGGGCACACATGTTCGTGTTCAGTTCGTCGTGGCTAGCCAAGCCGCGCCAAACATGAACATGTTCGTGTTCGTCTAATGTTCAGAGCGTTTTTGGGAAGAAACCAGGGAAAAAACTCAACTTCACACACCATACCATCTCTCCTTGCTGAAACCGACGCCCATACTATAACTAGAAGCCCAGTTCGCCCATCCCACGGCTGTTGAGAAGTTGAGAAGATAGGGGTGAACATAGGGGTGTTCGCCCCTAGAGGCGAACAGGCGAACACCATTTTCTCAGAAAGTGTTCGCCGCGAACCAAACACTGTTCGGTTCGCCCAGGTGACATGTTCGCCCTGGGCGAACACGAACATGTTCGTGTTCGCCTCTTGCTCAAGCCTACTCTCCAGTTTCTTCCTCCATGCCTACCCTGCCCAGTGGGCGGCGAATAAGCATATGGGCTCAATGTCTTGGGGAGTATGTATGAGGAGGACACTTGATGAAGGCTTCTCAAAGGCTTCTCAACAACCTTCTGTTCATCCCTCTCTTGCTCGATCCTCAAAACTGCTGCGGCACAACTCTTTTCCAGCATGGTTTTCTCCAAGGCTCGGATTCAGTTTCCAATGGCATCGGCGGCACCACCATTATCAAAGCTCGTCACATAAAACAAGGAAATTCACCCGCATGGGCATGAGAACGGGCCAGCCTCCTCAACTGAGGCCGGCTGGGCTCCGCTAGAGGGTGGTTCAGGTTGGTGTTTGTGGAAAATCTGCCACACGAGCTGCCCCGGCGGGTTGGTTCTGGCTCGAGCAGCCACGACCTGGCAACCACACGGTCGGTCGTCACCAGGCCAGGCCGTTTTTCGGGCCGCGTCGAGCCGAATGACAGAGTCTCGTGCGCACTTGAGTCAACCTGACGGAATTGAAGCTCGTTGAATCCGCCTTACTTCAGGAGCCCGCACACCTGCCATTGGGCCTTGGGTGAGCGCGCCCCTCACCTAGCAGCCCACACGCCCCTCGCTGACTGCGAGTGCCTCGGGCCATGCCAGCCCGACTCGTGGTCCGAACCAGGGTGGTCCCCCCCCCCCCCCCCCCTAGTTCACCCTATTTCACCGTGCCCACCGGGATTCGAGGAAACCCGTCAGGTTGACGGGACATGTGGATTCTGGACCCTGGTGGTGACTGCGACCTGGCTCATGGAGCAGTCCTGGGAACTCCAAAGTGCTGCCAGTCCACGTCAGTTGGTGAGCCAGTAGTATCAAAACGACTGCCTCGCTGAAATGATTGGCTGAAGGGGATTCGAGGAAACTCGGTCGCGTTGTCAAGTATCAGAGTCTTGATCTACTCGAAGCAAAGGCAATTAAAGAATGTAGTCACTATTCCTGGGCTAGGTTATGCTTCCCCAGGGAGGAAGGGGGGAGACATGGGCCGAGGATGGTGGGGAAGAGGGGAGGAGGTGAGTTGCTGGGGGTGCTTGCGTTGATGCAAAAAGAATGCTCACCTTGACTAAAAATTCTCGCCTGAAATGGAGAGTAGCGAGGCGATCTCTGCTTACTGAACGCCTTGCAGCAACAACTATCCAGGAGTTCCGCGGCAGCTGCCTTCCCTCTTACAGTTACGGCTCACGGTGCTGCATGCTCTGTTGTGTTTCTAGCTCTCTCACTGTCCGCCACCTCCTCCCGTCTGTCACGTCCCACTGCCTCACCTCACCTCACCTCACCTCACCTCACCTCACCTCACCGCCACCACCAGGCGGCTGTCTGGGTTGTCGGAATTCACAGGGGAGCTGACCTCCTTTGCACTGCTCTCCCACCTCCACCACCTCCAACACCTGTGAGTCTACTTTCAGAGCACCCACCCAGAAGTCACTCTTGTTTCGAGGAGCCTAAAAAATGGTATGCTCTGAGAGCACTGCTCTGAGAGCACCCAGAAGTGGCTCCCTTGACACTCGAAGTGCTGTCACATCACAAATGTTTTCTTTCCAAAGGTTCCTTGTTATTTATCTGTCGCCATTTGACCCGGCTGTCAGGTGACAAGTTCACCTACTGACTTTGCCATGTGCTGTTTACATACATGGGCACGGCTTGCAGATCACTCATTGGTCTTAGCAATGTGACAGGGGAGATACCCCGGGAGATTCGATACTTGACTGCCCTCACTACACTGTAAGCTGAGCACAACACATGCGCATGTGCGTGCGATCGGCTCTGCACCGAGATAGGTGTTCTGCTGCAAATTCTTGCTCGTCTTAGGCCGGCCAATCCAGCTCGTGCGCACACACCACCAGCACACTTCAAGGTCCCTCTTCCCTTCTCATGCTCCCTCGCCGCCCTCCCTGCAGGGACCTCATATTTCTTCGAGCTGTGGACTTCCCAGACTGGGTCACTCAGATGTCCAAACTCCAGTCACTGTGAGAGTGCTCCTAGCTTTCTCATGTGCGCCTGTTCTCCCGCTCTGTTATTACCTTATTCTCCCCATCTCCTATTCCTGTACATTGCCCCACAACAATTGAGCTGCTAACAACCCACTCAATCAGTCAAACCGCGCCACAGCGTGACGTGCACTGTGTGCTAAACAGCCCTTTCTGCCACAGCCCTTTCTGCCACAACCCTCTCTGCCATGTCGCTGAACAGCCCTTCCTGCTCTGCGCTTGTGAGGAGGCATGTGAGAACATCGAGCAAAGGAGTTGACTTGCACGTCAACTTAAAAACCAGGCCAAACCTCCTCTACAACTTTTGAGGCGCCTCAAAAGCATGTCAACTTAAAAACCACGCCGCACCTCTACGCGCACCTTGTGCAGAATCGCCCCTCCTATTCCCTTCTGCCTGCCCCTGCCTGTGAGCAGGCGAGTGATCAACGACGAGCCAAGGAGGCAGGGAGTGCTGCCAGAAGGCCTTTCAGAGTTGACAGCACTCACTCAACTGTGAGTGCGCATAGCACAGCGCAGCACACCACAGATCAGCCTCACGTACCTCGTTGCACAGCCTCACAACCCCATCGCACAGCCCAATGCCACATTGGTGTACATGCATGCATCCGTTACCTTGCCCCCCCCCCCCCCCCCCTTCCTGCCATGCACTGCACACTGCAGGTCCCTCTTGGGGAACAACCTGGAAGGCGCCCTGCCCAAAGGCTTCTCCACACTTGCCAACCTGGCTGTCCTGTAAGCGAGGCACTTCCTGACCAGCCTGCCCTGTGTGGGACAGTTGACCATCAGGCTGACGTGTGAGACAGCAAAGCGCCAACTAGAGTCTATACTCTCTTTTTTACAAGTGTTATTGCAAACGGTCTATTCCTGCCTGTGTTTCTGTGTCTTGCAAAGCAATCTTTTCTCCTGCATGTCACTTCAATCGCAGGGATCTGAGCTTGAACCATCTGCAAGGCACCATACCCGAAGCATACTCTGCGTTGTCAGCCCTCGCTGAACTGTACGTGTCCTATCTTGGTGATACGCGTTTCTCTCGTTAACCCCCTCTGCAACCCACCCGATCCCCAGAACCCCACCTCCCCTTTCTCTCCTCTTTCCGGCTTCCCCTCCCTGAGTAACCAACCAGTCCTGCGTCTCTTTGCTGGAAGAAACCGCCTTCGAATATGACATGCTTGTGCTTTGCTTGTGATTTGCTTGTGCTTTGCTTGTGATTTGCTTGTGCTTTGCTTGTGCTTTGCTTGTGCTTTGCTTTTGCTTTGCTTGTGATTTGCTTGTGCTTTGCTTGTGCTTTGCTCTTGCTTTGCTCGTGCTTTGCTCGTGCTTTGCTCGTGGCACTGCCCTCTTATCTGCAGGGACCTCTCATCAAATTACCTTTCCGGATTGGTGCCTCGAATCTTCAACAGCAACATCCAGTCTATGTATGCCTGTCTCCCTCCTCCACTACTCTCACACACTCTCTCTTGTTCACTTTCTTGCCTGCCTTTCTTCACTCTCTTTTACATTCTTACTCTGTCTATGTCTCTCCTCCGTCCCTCTATTGACCCTCCTCTCTTTTGCTCCGCTGACACCCCTCCCCTCCCCCCCCCCTCCCCCCCCCCCACCTCCCCCCTCTCCCCTCTCTCGCCGCCCCCTGTTAAAACCGTTTTCTCCTTATTTCTGGTTCGGTACGTATTGTCCTTCAAATCCGCTGGAGGCTTAGTCGTCTAGTGTATTCAATGAGTCATATGTATCCGTTTACATTATAGTAGTGTAGACATTAGGGGTTTGGTTATATTAGTTATAGGGTGCTCTCCTAGTGATTTTATCAAGATCTAGGCACCCCAAATTCGGCTTTGGGGCACCTCGGCACGTTTTACTTGGGGGCGCGGCTCCAGCCTCGACCCACGAATTTCAACATTGGAAACGCAGCTCCAGCTTGGAATTCGCGTTTCCAATTCGTGGAATCGCGGTTCCACTGGAGGGGGTGCTTCCAGGCCCACTGTGAGGGTCCCTCACATCCCCATCTTGACTGTGGGCGACTTGAGCACCCATTTGGCCACCCCAAGCCCTTGGGCACCAATTTGTTTCACTCGTACCAGCCAAGTTGCCTCCAAGCTAGCTCTCTTCGCTCTCTGCGTAATATCTTCTGCTTGTATCCGCCACCTCAATTTTCTTAATGCTTCCAGAACCATTCAGCATTTCTGAAACAGCTTCGCCTTGTGCACATAGGTCTGTTTCTCTACACAAGGAAGGAAGGAAGCTCACTTAGAGTCGCTCTTGACCCATCTACACTCCACCCGCTTTGCCTGCCTCAAAATGCTCAGCTACAACAGCTTTTCCGGACCCATTCTGCCGCATCTCGCACTGCCTAGCTTGGTCTTGCTGTGAGCCCCACCTCCCGCCCAGCCCACCATGCAATGGCAGGCATGCACCTCCTTCCCTCCCTCCATGCTTCTCGCCAGTATCCCTTGCATTTGTATCTGTATTTCCAACCCTCCCTTCCTAATTGTACTTTGAATTTGTAAC